TTCTTGAGCACAAAATCAGCATATTAGAGAGATTTCTGAAGGATCATGTGACGCTGAAGACTGGAGTAATGGCTGCTGAAAATTCAGCTTTACATCACAGGAATAAATTACATTTTAAAATATATTCAAATAGAAAACAGTTAAGTTGTAATAATATCTCACAGTTTTGCTGTTTTTACTGTATTTTTGATCGAGTAAATGCCGACTTGATTAACATAAGTGGCATCTTTCAAAAACATTAAAGGTCACATATTTTACACCTTTCTGGAGTTTTATTTTAAGTCTTGATGTCCTTAAGAATATATATTTGGGGTATAAGTACCAAAAACCATCTCAATATATTTTTACAGCTCCTCTCTCAGGAGCTCTGCTGAGAACAGGCCGATTTTGGCCTGTCTAATTAATATTCATGAGCCTCTCTTCTGATTGGCCTGTTGTTTTCTGAGTGACACACGGCCAGGCCAACCACAGGTAACTAGGGTCATGTATGCTGTAGCCTGCTGTGGATTGGTGATACTCACAAGTAAGGTCAATAGAAACACCGGTAATGATGGTCACTGGCAGGGAAATGTTGTCCGGCCTTACATGTTTGAACCGAACTCAGACCCCGAATCGGCGACGACAGGAGACAACCAACCACCTCCTCAAATGCGCTTACAACAGGATGTTTCAGAATGGTAATTCATGTTTTTTTTTTCAAGCACCGCTGTGTATGGCATTTGAGGTAATTTGTGAATTAGCATAGACTTATAGTCTAAATAAAACAATTTGAAACTGTTACTATTATTACACTTGTATACAAAACTTTGCATTATGCTTGTTATAGAGTGTGTGACGTCACGTGCACTACCGCCGGTGGCAATGTGTTGTTGTGCTCAGCAATGGCATGGACGCGATGTTGTCTGGGGGTTTGGCATAAGGAGAGTGGGACTGTGGGCAGTGCTCGGGGTGGTGACTGAAGGCGTTGACTGAGTAGTTCTGACGTCACCTTTTTACGGAAGTCGCAACGGTTCGTGAAAAATCACAGCTACTTTATGCAGGCTGTGTGCATTTGACTGTGGGTTGACTGTTTTGAAACTTATGTGGTAGTTACATAGCACCTAGACCTCAGTTATCATGAAAAAAGCCAGGAAATTTCAGTTTTGACAATATGGGACCTTTAAAAAAAAATCGCACAGACCCCAAACATTTGAACGGTTGTGTACGTAGTAACATACATGAATTTTTACTTCATGAATATTTAAAACATAAATGTTTTTATTAGGAATGTATCAATATTCAAATGATTCTGATAAGCCACTAATTTTGTTACAGATGATAACCGATGGATGATATTAAAATGTTACACTATTTTTGTGTAAATTAATCACTAAAAAGTAAAATCAGTCATTTAGACATCAAAGCATTATAATGCAAAGTATGAAAATGGACATGAATTTTGGCATTTGCTAAAGATTACATTTAGCAGTGTTATTAAATTATTAATTTTTAAAAATCAATATAATAAAGTTATTTATATATTGTGCATTGCTACTTATTAGTGTCTGTAATGTGTAGAGCCCGACCAATATATCGTTTAGGCGATATTATCGGCCGATATGAGCCTGTCGCAGATATATCGGTATCGGCGAATATGCCTCCAATATGAATTTTTTTTTACAGAACATATAACGCAGATGAAATGCTTCTAAATGGTGTAATTACTTAGTTTGTCCAGCAGAGTGCGCTCCATTGTTTGCCACTGGTGGCTCAGGTCAGTGTAGAGATGAGCGGATGAGCTCAAACTTCACCCGAGTGTGCTACTTCAAATAAATTATCCGCCTGCCACCCACCGCACCTATATTTAATGGTCACATTACAATGATTCTAATTCTTAGTTTTGCATGATGATATGATGAATGGATGGCTAATTTTTAACAGCAGATTCAGTGGCGTTAGTGCTGATCTGCGCATCACGGCACGCTTCTACGGCGCATAAGGCTCCACGGCCACCGGAGCTTATCGCAGCAACTCAAGTCAATGCTTGTGTTTATACCGGCCAAGCTGTGGCCCAGAACTAATGCGTATCACATCGGTCACATCACATTTCTTAACTGGGTGTCTACACCAGACGCGAGCGGTGCGACAAAATACAATAGAACCCAATATAATCAGTAATGCTGTCTACACTGGATGCGGCGCGATGCAGCACGACAAATCCCAATGCCTCGTTCGATTTATGACGTACTGACACAAAGCACAAATGATTTTCAACGGTCGTCCAGTGTAGACATGGTGTGTCAGCATAGTTTGTCAGTACAGTCAGTAACGTAGCAGATTGAAAAGTTAGTATCTTTCTGCAGTCCAATAGACGGCAGTGCGGTGGTGGCTTGAGTCTGTTGAATGGTGCTTTAACACTATATTGTCACCTAGTTGGACAGACTCAATGCCAAGTAAATAAACAACAATGTCCCCGTCTTTTACTCTCACAATGAGTTTATCATATTCTTTTGCTACATTAGTAGGGCCCTGTGATTTCCGCAATGCAGAAAACATGGACGGAATCGTGGAATCCATTCATAAAAACGGAATTTACTGTATAACGCGGAATTTCATGGAATTTGCCTTAGTTTTGATGAATAAATAAAAAACAGGTCAGTACACTTAAATCAAATCGCGATATAGACTAGTGTCTGTGAATATTAAACTGCAAAAAACTATTTTAAATACGAATCTGTAACGAGTCACTCCACTGAAGGCGAGCGTAGTGAGAACCCAAGTGGGCAGATTCATGGACAGGAGAGGCCTCCGAGGCAGATTCATGGACCGAAGAGGCCTCAGGAGCGCAGTGTGCAGCCCACACGCTCAAAAAGGCGACCTCCATTACAGGAAGGGCAGCAGAATGTGGCATGACCTCTAAGATGGCAGGGCTTGAGAGCGCTGACGTTACCGGGATGCCTGCAGCTCGCACTGACATCAGAGGTGGGTCCATCACACTAGCAATCAGACATTTCAGTCCAAGCCCAAGCGCCGCGTCCGACTCAGGCGTGGCGGCCATCTTGGCCGGCCATTCAGGCGTGGCGGCCATCTTGGCCGGGCATTCAGGCGTGGCTGCCATCTTGGCCGGGCATTCGGGCGTGGCTGCCATCTTGGCCGGGCATTCGGGCGTGGCAGCCATCTTGGCCGGGGACTCGGGCGTGGCGGCCATCTTGGCCGGCATGACGTGAGCAAGCTCTGGCTTGGCAGACGTGACGTGAGCAGGCCCTGGGGTAGCAGACATGACTTTAGCAGACTCTGGCTTGGCAGACATGAATTGAACAGGTTCTGACTTGGTAGATATGACATGAGTAAACTTTGACTTAACTGGCATGATGTGAGCAGGTCCTGGAGTAGCAAGCATGACGTGAGCAGGCTTTGGCATAGCAGACATGACGTGTGCAGGCTGTGGCTTGGCAGGCGTGACGTGAGCAA